GTAGTGGAAGTTATGGTGAGGAGAAGGATAAATATTATGTGCCTACAAGAAACTAAGTGGGTTGGTTTTAAGGCAAAGGATCTAGAAAACTCAGGGTTTAAACTTTGGTATTCGGGCACAAATAGAACGAGAAACGGTGTTGGCATCATCGTGGACAAGACCATGACACAAGATGTTGTAGATGTCAAGAGGGTAGGAGATAGAATCATGGCAGTCAAGATTGTAATAGGACAAGAACTCATCAATGTGATTAGTGCGTACGCACCTCAAGTAGGGTTGGATACAAGTTCGAATGAGAAATTTTGGGAAGACCTTGGAGACTTGGTGCAAGGAATTGCTCAGACGGAGAAGTTATTTATACGAGGAGATTTAAATAGACACGTGGGCAAGGAGACAGGCAACTATGGAGGTTTTCATGGTGGCCATGGTTTTGGGGAGAGAAACGAGGATGGGGAAGCTATCTTGGATTTTGCAATGGCATATGATCTCTTCTTAGCCAACACCTTCTTGAAGAAGAGAGAAGAACATGTGATCACAAACAAGAGTGGGTCGTCAAAAACACAAATAGATTTTCTTCTAATGAGGAAAAGGGATCGTATAACTTGTAAAGATTGCAAAGTTATACCGAGAGAAAGCTTGGCTAATCAACATCGCTTGTTGGTGATGAATGTACATATCAAAAGAGTGAGAAAAAAGAACAAGACTTGGAAGTGCCCAAGGACTAGATGGTGGAATCTAAAAGGAGAAAAACAAGCCATTTTCAAAGAGAAAGTAATCACTCAATGTGTGTGGGATAGAGAGGGAGAAGCTAGCCAAAGGTGGGATTCCATGGCTAGTTGTATCCGAAAAGTAGCAAAAGAGGTATTAGGAGAGTCCAAGGGCTTTGCTCCACACCAAAAGGAATCTTGGTGGTGGAATGATGAGGTACAAACAAAGGTGAAGGCTAAGAAGGAATATTGTAAAGCCTTATACAAGGATAGGACCGATGAAAATGGTGAAAGGTATAGAAGAGCGAAGCAAGAGGCGAAGAAAGCTGTGAGAGAAGCTAAGTTAATGGCTTATGACGATATGTATAAGCAACTAGATACCAAAGAAGGACAGTTGGATATCTATAAACTAGCTAGAGCAAGGGAAAAGAAGACAATGGACCTAAACCAAGTGAGGTGCATCAAGGATGAGGATGGAAAAGTTTTTGCTACAAAGAACGCGGTCAAAGACAGATGGAGAGGTTATTTTCATAATCTTTTCAATGAAGGACATGAAAGGAGTACTTCTTTAGAAGAGTTGAGTAACTCAGAAGAGTGTAGAAACTACTCATTTTATCGTCGAATCAGGAAGGAAGAAGTGGTTGTAGCTTTGAAGAAGATGAAGCATAGAAAAGCAGTAGGCCCAGATGATATACCAATCGAAGTGTGGAAAGTCTTGGGAGAGACAGGTATATCATGGCTCACTGACATTTTCAATAGGATTTTGAAAACGAAGAAGATGCCAAATGAGTGGCGAAAGAGCACTTTGTTGCCTATCTACAAGAATAAGGGCGACGTACAAAATTGCATGAACTATAGGGGTATTAAGCTAATAAGTCATACAATGAAGCTTTGGGAGAGAGTCATTGAGCATAGATTGAGGCAAGAGACACGGGTTTCGAACAACCAATTCGGGTTCATGCCAGGACACTCAACCATGGAGGCAATTTATCTCTTACGAAGATTGATGGAAAGATATAGAGAGGGGAAAAAGGATTTACACATGGTCTTTATAGATTTGGAAAAAGCGTATGATAGGGTCCCAAGAGACATTATCTGGAAGATTTTGGAGAAGAAAGGAGTACGAGTAGCATATATCCAAGCTATAAAAGATATGTATGAAGGAGCAAAGACTGCCGTAAGAACTCATGAAGGACAAACTGAAAGTTTCCCCATAACTATAGGAGTACATCAAGGCTCATCCTTAAATCCTTACCTTTTTGCGTTGGTAATGGATGAGTTAACATGACATATTCAAGATGATATTCCTTGGTGTATGCTTTTCGTAAACGATATAGTGTTAATAGATGAAACTCAGAAAGGGGTAAATGTGAAGCTTAACCTTTGGAGAGAAGTGTTGGAATCTAAAGGTCTTCGCCTAAACCGATCAAAGACAGAATATATGGAGTGCAAGTTCAGTGCAAATGGAAGCCAAAATGAGTTAGGGGTGAGGATTGGAGATCAGGAAATACCAAAGAGCGACTGCTTTCACTACCTAAGATCTATCTTGCTAAAGAATGGAGAATTAGATGGAGATCTCAACCATAGAATACAAGCTGGATGGATGAAGTGGAAGAGTGCATCCGGCGTGTTGTGTGACCGCCGTATGCCACTGAAGCTCAAGGGAAAATTTTATAGGACGGCAATAAGGTCAGCGATGCTGTATGGCACAGAATGTTGAGCGGTGAAGCATCAACACGTACACAAAATGGGTGTAGCGGAGATGAGGATGCTTCGTTGGATGTGTGGGCACACGAGAAAGGATAAGATTAGGAATGAGGATATCCGAGGTAAAGTAGGAGTAGCCGAAATTGTAGGAAAGCTGAGAGAAAATCGGTTACGGTGGTTTGGACATGTGCAAAGAAGGCCTACTGACGTTCCGGTTAGAAGATGCGACTACGGGATAGAGGTTCAGGGCCGAAGGGGTAGAGGAAGACCTATGAAAATTTTGGAAGAGACTCTAAGAAAAGACTTAGAGTACTTGGATCTAACGGAGGACATGACACAAGACCGAGCACAATGGTGTTCTAAGATTCATATAGCCGACCCTACTCAGTGACTTGGATTTTTCAAGTCTCCAATTGAGAAGTTTTCCTCACTCGAGAAATTAAGGGAACACTACCTCAACCTACATGCTTCACTCACAAAGCTTCAACATACAAGCTTCAACAAAAGAAAAATTCAAAGAACTTAGTGAAGAAGGCTTTGGTGTATTTAACACAATACGTTGAAATAAAGCAAAGCTTATTTATTGATATCTCCGATAAGTTACAAATATGTACATATACATGAGTCAAAATAAACAAATAAGAGAGGGCCTTCACAAAGGTTGCTTAGAAGAAGTCTCAGCAGTCGGTAGAGCCCCAGAAAGAGAAGGCACCGGAGGATGATCACTTAGAGCCTCAGTACTGGACAAAACCCTAAAAGGAAGAGGCATCGGAGGCTGATCATTTAGAGCTTCATTACGCAGTACAGCCCCAGAAGACGAAGGCAATAAATGTCTTTGGAACAAACCCACAAACCTCTGATGATCAAGTAAAATCTGATCATCAGATTCCTTCACCTGGCCAAGCTTCCTCTTCATGTTTGTAGCATAGTCATGTGCGAGCCTGTGCAACTGTTTATTCTCATGCTTGAGCCCTCTAATCTCCTGCTTAAGGGCTCGTTTGGATGTGCTACTCTATAAAGCGCTTTTACTCACTAGCGCTTTTTGTTTGTAGCACTTTTCAATAGTGCTTCTATGAGGAAGTAGTTTGTTGTTTGGCATGCAACCAACTAAGCGATTTTGTATTGGATAGAAGCGTTTTTTATATTAAATAGAGTGTTTGGTTGTCAAATGAAAAAGCGCTTTCATTAATAATTCTCAATAATTTTTGCATAAGTATTTTTTGTATATAATTAGCATACAATTTGATTAAGAGTTGATGAAAATTCAATTACAAAAAATAATGATCACTAACAAAATTATACATACTTATTGAGAATATGTGTTTGTTTCTTGAAAACAAAATGATACGTTATAGTTGCATGACAATCAAATGTGACATAAGCATTAACTAGATATAAGAAGATTAGCAATCCTTTCTCGTTCAACATCCATCTCTCGCCTATGAGTAAAATTTTCATCAACAATTTCTTCATCTCTATGATCTTCCTCATGTCCAGGTGGAAGTAGCTCATCATCATCATCATAAGGTTGGAACTCTTAATCTGTCATGGAATGCTTCCTAATAAAATTGTGTAAGGCCATTGAAGCAACAACAATTTGTACCTGTTTTTCAAAATGGAAGTTACGCATAAGACGAATCATTGTCCATCTATTTTTCCAAACACCAAAAGTTCTTTCTATTGTGCATCTTAGGGATGAATGTCTCTGATTAAATATCTCTTTTTTCCCTCTTGGCTGACTTCCACGTCGAAATTCAAGAAGATGATATCGTTCACCCTTATAAGGTCCAATATATCCATTCATATGTGGATATCCAGCATCAACTAAATAATATTTGCCTACACCATAATTGAAAAGAAAAATATAAAGATTTTTGCGTTCTTAAGATAAAAAATAAATAAACACATTCATATAAGACTAAGGTTGATTACTAACCAGAAGGGGGATAAGGAAATTTCAATTCTAGTCTTCTCAAGGCCTCCATGAATATACGTGAATCATGAGCAGCACCCTCCCATCCAGCCCAGACAAATGTGAAACACATATTAAAATCACGTACAACCATAACATTTTGAGTTGTATTTCCTTTTCTACCTATATATGGCACTTGCATTTCTCTAGGTACCACAACTGGGACATGTGTTCTGTCAATTGCCCCTATGCAACCGTTAAAATATGGCCAATACTGATTGTCATCCTTAATTTTATTTGATACTCTCTTGAATTGCCGATCATGTGGACATATAATATCAGTAGCCATGCGAGAAACAACATCTAATAGTATCCCAAACCACCTAGAAACAGTTTCTCCAGAGTGTTGAAACGTTTCTTGGACCATCCTATTAGTGTGCCCATGACCTAATGTGTTTAGAAACATTGCTAATGCTTCTTCTAGGGTTATATCTCCAAATCTTTTTAAGCCATAATCACGCTTCCAAGTCTCTAACAAGTCCTTAAAAACATGTTGTTCCATCCTAAATTGTTCATGGCATCTTATAGGATGACCATTTAAAACTTCCATTACCCATCTATATCCCGTATACGAAGAAGTCCTACAAGGTTCTTTGTCAACATACTTTAACCATTCAGAGACAGCCGTGACACAGCTTGCAGAAACCAGTTGATAATTCATCATCACTTCCATCAGTAGAGTTGTTTGTATTGCTACTATCACTGCTGCTAGAACTCATAGCTGTAAACACAAAAGAAAATTTTAATATGAGAGGAATATATAATCATGGAAAAAATAAAGATCACATTCTGAATAAAGTTCTAAAAAAATCATATAATTAAAGATATTAGAGGCACACATGTTTAACCAATCCATTACATAATAAATACTTATTCAACCACCAAAAAAAAAAACATGTTGAAAAATATAATCCTAAGATAAATGTGATGAATCAAATTTTCTTGCTCTTGAGCCACATGATTTGTCGGTTAGATTGCTTCAATGCAACAAACATCTCTCTATTTTTTCTTTCAGTGAAGATATCAGCCGCTTTCATAAAGAGCTCATCATCATTCACAACTTCATGCATTCCTTCCAACATTTGCATCACTTCCTCAATGCTACAACCAGGCTTATCTGTGCTCTTAGAACGGTTGTTTACAGCTTCTAAAATACCATCTAATTGTTTTATCATCTTGGCCCCAATTCCAACTCTTTTAGAATCTCTTGTTCTTTTTGTTCATTTTCCTTGTGTTGAAGGTTGAGCAGGGGAAGGTGTCTCAGCATCGGCTATGTCGTCAAGCCCCTCATTATTATCTATGTCATTCTCCAAATCATCTTGACCGTCATTTTGTTCGCATGTTGGAGCTTTTTGGACATTATTACTCATCAACCCTTGTGAGGGTGGTCATGCACCTACACCTGTAACAGCTCCTTCTTTAAACAAAATGTCCAGTTGGTCAACATTTTTCAATCCACTATTTCGATATTTTGCAACTTCAGAATTCTCCTGAAATATGACCAACTGCAATTAACAAATTATGATAAAAGAACGTAAATATGAAGTTAGATTTCCATGGATATGAGATAATAATTTCTCACCTTCACTTTTTTCTCCCACCACTCATCACTTGCAATGATAGTTTGCTTCACAAGATCCCATCCTAAGCCAGTCTCTTTTCCAACTAATGATGCCCACAATTGCCATTCTTTCTTAAGTGCAGTCCATTTGTTCTTGAGTTGTTTATGAACATATGACCTTTGAGTAAGGTCATTAAATTTTTTAATAACATTTTTCCATCCAATTCTAATAAGATGACCACCTGTTTGATTTCTAGCTAATGTCTCAGCTACACAAACACTTATAAATATCTCAACACTTGCATCATCCCACATTGCCTTGCTCTTTTTTTCGTTACCTTCTCCACGATCTTGCATATCTTTAACTATATTCTTAGACATATCTATAAAGAGAAGTTGAAAAAAAACCATAGCACATAAGAAGAGCATATACCACTACTTACGTCCTAGCTAACAACACAAAAGTAAATTAAAAGCAATAATGCAAGATTTGTAACTAGTATTTGTTATATATAATAATGCAGTACACCGTTGCTTCCAAAACTGCAGTGCGTATGTATTTGTTATATATAATAATGCAGTACACCGTGGTTATATATAATAATGCAGTACACCATTGCATATGTATCTATTTGTTATATATAATAATGCAGTACACCGTTGTTATATATAATAATGCAGTACACCATTGCATATGTATCTAGTATTTGTATATATAATGCAGGATATGTAACCATTAACAATAAATTCATTAGTGTTGCTTTCTGTTGTCATTGGAAGTTAATTTGCTATTAGTAGTATCTACAATCGTTAATACGACATCAAATCTCGGCATCAAATCTGCAAGTTATTGTTCATCGTCGGTCTTTCAGCGTTCGAATGCTTGGTTTCATTCATGATATGATGGTGTCCATGTAATACGTACAACATGAACGTTCTGTGTCACACGCATCTACTTACATGGGATGGGATGTGCAAAGTCATGAATCGTCAACCTCAAGGGCATCAGAGAATGAATCAGGAAAATTAGAAATATCGTGAAAAAAATGCAGAAAATACCATTGGAATGTCAATGAACGATCACTAAACCCTAAAATTATTTTCGTGTAGTTCAAAAATCACAACAATTTTGATAAAAATAACATATCAACAATCAAATTCACACACTACATACAAATTTTAAGATAAGAAATAGCAAACATACCTCCACAAGAATTTTAGGTGATGGAGATGCAAAGAGATTTGGGGAAGATGGAGAGGAAGAGATGGAGACCAAGATGACTTCTCCAGCCACCAAAATATTATGAAAATAAAAGACTTCTAGGTTTTTAACGTGCAAACCTAGAAAAAATTGGTGATGTCAATTTTGATGTTTTTTTCAAGTGTAATGGCATTTTAGACTTTGCAAATTAAAAAATAGGGATAATTCGGGAATTGAAAAAAATTCATTAAAGGGAGCAAAGTGCTTCCCTTGTTTTCTCTGCATAGCACTTTTAGGAGGAAGCACCTCCTAGGTGCTTTTTAGAAAATGCTTATTAGTGCTTCTACTTCTAACTAAAAGCACTTTTAAAATATTTTCCAAACGACCATTTTTTAAAACTAAAGCGCTTTTACTCATTAGGAAGAGCTTTTGACTCTTTCAAAAACACAACCAAACGAGCCATAAGACTCATCACTTCAGCCGCCAATGATTCAACTTGGTGGGTTCGAGCAAATAGGCGTTGGGCCATATTCGACATAGAACCTTCACATTGAACATTGAGAGCCAGAAAATCCTTAACAGCCAACTCATCAGACTGTTTGGAAAGAAGTCTGTTATCTTTGGGAGTGAGAATGTTCCTAGCCACCACCGCAGCGGTTATATCATTCTTCATCACGGAATCCCTAACGGTAAGAGAATCAGTAGGGGATAAGAAGGATGGGCGCCATATGTTGTCTGGAGAAGGCGCGGCTGCCTCTTTACCAAGGTTCAAGTCAAAACGAAGGTCGGAAGGGCCAGACATTTTCAAAGGTGTTGAAGAGAGAAGAGGTCGAACAAATCAAGATCTTAGAAGTGCAAGAAATGAGCTTCTACTGGTGGAGATTCAAGTGTGCTTTGGAACTTAATGTCAGCCTCTATAAAAATCTGCACTCGACGGAGCTTCAAAAATCGAAGAAGTGCCTGCTCAAAAATCGAATAGGCGTTTGCTTTCTCAAAAGCTGGGCTGCTCAGAGACCACGATGAACTATCTTAAAGATCGAAGAGGCGTTTACTTTCTCAAAAGCTGGGCTGCTCAAAGACCACAATGGCTGATCTCAAAAATCGAAGAAGCGCTTGCTTTCTCAAAAGCTGGGCTGCTCATAGACCACGAGGGCCGATCTCAGAAATCGAAGAGGCACCTATTTTCTCAGCCTTGTCAGCACTTGTCACATGCACACTCAGCTTTGCGGAAATTACGGGCAATCTGTCGAAGATTTCTGGTGAAGTAGAAAGCACGTGAATCTTACTTTTCAATCATCCACTTTCCACACGCAACATCAGCTCATGGGTACCACAAATAACTTTGCCAAAGATCTCTGACAAAGTTTAGACACGTGAAGCTTGCAGCTCCCACTACATCGCTATGACCAAGAAAGGTAAAAGAATAGCAAAGAAACAGCACTAACAAAGTTTAGACACATAAATTTTGAAGGTTTAGATACCATATTATTACCCATAAGGGTAAAGGAACAGTACCACTGCTGGATAATTGGAAAGTCCCTATGTCTCAACCTCTGTGCTCCGTGGCAAGGTAGACTAGCAAAAATGCCCAACCTTTACTCACATTCCAGAAAACACTCCCAACAAGATTGCTTGCTCCAAATTCGAAGAGGCACCGCCCTCCGAATCTCGAGAGCCGAGCCAGACTCCCAGCAGGATTGCTTTCTCAAAAATCGAAGAGGCACCGTTCTTCGAATCTCGAGAGCCAGATCCCCGAAAGGATCGCTTGTTTGAAAACCGAAGAGGCATCGCTTTCTCAACTTCGAAAGCCAGATCTCCTTGGATAAAGCTTGTCTGTAATCTTCACACGCAACATCAGCTTTCCAGATACCATAGACCACTTTTTCAAAGTGCTCTAACAGAGTTAAAACACGTGAAGTGGGCAACTCCCACTACAGTACTATGACCAAGAAGGGTAAAGGAATAGCATTACTACTTGTTGTTACGGAGACTCCTATATATGTCGACCTCCATCCTCAACGGACAGGCAGACCTGTAAAAATGCTCAACCCTTCCTCATATCTGAGAGGGCACTCCCAACGAAGCCTCTCGAAATACTCAGTTTTCTTTCCCCCCGATAATACCTCTGCAAACAAGCTACACCAGAGCAAGAATATCTCATATCATCAGGGTTAAAAGCAAGAGTATCTCATATCATGCTTTTTCCCTGTCTTTTCCTTTGGCCTTGTTCTTACCTACAAGACAATGAGAAAAAGAGCAATCAGTCAGCACTTGGAATCAAGCTTCCAATCAGGAACTGACTGCCTGGAACCCCTTACCTGATTACTTACCTGGCATTACTCTCGAGTACTCATCTTCAACATCTTATGCTTCCAGAGAAGATACCACATATGCCGGAGGAACAAATAGGGCCAATGAGAATGATAAAAGGAAGCATGTGGAGACAAGCGTAACAGAACACGTGCCAATACTTCCACTACTTTGTCAACAACAAAAGTATCCCATATCAGCAGGGTCGAACGTACTCTAGATTTGATGGACTTGTTTTGACCCTCAAATTCTTCAGTCAGCCTTATACTCTGGAGGTAACCAAAAAACCCTCCAGCCCAGTTCAAGAAAAAGCCTGTGGAAAGCTATTTCTTCAAAAGCAAAAGTATCTCATATCATATCTTTTCCTTTTCTTCTCTTTATCCTTCATGTTACCAGCAAGATAAGGAGAATGAGAACAATCAGCCGGAACTCGAAATCAAACTTCTAATCTGGGACTGATTGCTTGGAGCTCTGATTGCTTACCTTGTCTGTCACCTCTTTCAGCAGATCCCCTAGCTCTGCGACTTGGGGGACTCCTACTACATGGTTTGTATCGCGCTTGACCACGCCTGAAATTACAAGTAAGCTTCAAGTGAAATTGATACATTACCTTATGCATCTCCACCAGTTAAAGATACCACCCCTGGACGGAGGAAGAGTACTTCCAGAGAAGATGACACATCTACCTATGAGACAAATAAGGCAAGTGAAGACGATACCACACTTCGGTACTTAGAAGTTTCGTGATTACTCAGCGGCTTGGATCTTGCAAGTCCCCAACCAAGGAGCTTCCTCTCCAACCAAGAGGCCAATCACAGATGACACGTGTCGACATCAGAAGCCAATCATAGCGCGACACATGTCAACATCGGAAGCCAATCACAACATAACACGTGTCAATGTCAAAACAAGGCTAGAAACTCTCTTCTATAAAAGGAGATCATTCTCCCAAAATATTTCCTAATGCCATTTGTACTAAATCATTCACTTGTACCCACTAAAAGAGAGCTTGAACCTATATACTTGTGTAAACCCTTCACAATTAATGAGAAATCCTCTACTTCGTGAACGTAGCCAATCTGGGTGAACCACGTACATCTTGTGTTTGCTCTCCTGTCTTTATCCTTTTACATACTTATCCACACTAATGACCAGAGCAATCCAGCGAAGGTCACAAACTTAATACTTTCTGTTGTACCAAAGTCCTCACTGATTTTGTGCATCAACAATCCTTAAGTCCTTACCTTTTTGCATTGGTAATGGATGAGTTAACAGGACATATTCAAGATGTTATTCCTCGGTGTATGCTTTACGCAGACGATATAGGGTTGATAGATGAAACTCAGGAAGGGGTAAATGCGAAGCTTAACCTTTGGAGAGAAGTGTTGGAATTTAAAGGTTTTCGCCTAAGCCGATCAAAGACAGAATATATGGAATACAAGCGGGATGAATGAAGTGGAAGAGTGCATCCGGCGTGTTGTGTAACCGTTGTATGCCACTGAAGCTCAAGGGAAAATTTTATAGGACGGCAATAAGGTCGGCGATGCTGTATGGCACAGAATGTTGGGCGGTGAATCATCAACACGTACACAAAATGGGTGTAGCGGAGATGAGGATGCTTCATTGGAGGTGTGGGCTCACGAGAAAGGATAAGATTAGGAATGAGTGGGTTGGACATGTGCAAAGAAGGCCTGCTGACGCTCCAGTTCGAAGATGTGACTATGGGACAGAGGTTCAGGGCCGAAGGGGTAGAGGAAGACCTAGGAAAACTTTGGAAGAGACCCTAAGAAAAGACATAGAGTACTTGGATCTAACGAATGACATGACACAAAACCGAGCGCAATGGCGTTCTAGGATTCACATAGCCGACCCCACTTAGTGGGAAAAGACTTTGTTGTTGTTTGAACAAATGATACAATCTATACTAAGCCGGGTGGATTTCATCTCACTATAGGCTAGCAATAATATGGTTCAAATTCGTCTTTGGCGAAAATCAAAATTAAGACCTCTCATTTACAAGTGAAGAGAAATATCACTAGACTGTAATATGAAGTGGCAACATAAATGATAAGTTCACAAAATTTTAAGAGTGGAATGACAAAATTAACACCTCATAACCTATTCGAAAACTACTCTAAATGCAAGGGGAGGAAAATATAAACTTTTGTAATAGAGTTAGGAGCATGGACAATGCAAATGAGATCGTACAAGATTCCGTTTTTGGTTTATGGAGATTGTGGAAGAACAAAAATGAAGCCGTGTTTCATGGAGTGCACTGACATCCGATGGAGATTTTGGAGGTCTGGAAGAAGAACATTGGGGAATTTTGAGGAGCGAAGCTACAGGTGGCTGCCCCTTCGTGCAGGTTTGGCGCGGCGGTGAGGGAGGTAGCGAAAGGACAAAAGGTGGCGTGGCAGAAACCGGAGTTCGCGACTGTTAAGGTTTATACCGATGCGGCATGGTGCAAAGTGTCATTGCGAGGGAGTGGGCGGGAGGCTCAGGTGATGTGCATTTTTCAAGTGCAGCAACGGCTGAAGCTGCGGCCATTCGGGAAGCAATGGAATTTTGCATTGAGAGATGGGATATGATGAAGTCATTTTTGAGTCTGATGCAAAGAATGTTGTACAGATGATCAACAAGGAGTGTGACCCTGACTTTGCTTTGGAGTGCATTATCCCGATCGACCAACACTCCTCTTGAAGGTCTTTGGTGGTTCTGTAGGCTTTGTCTTCGGAACCATCTTGGTGCGGCCATTGAGGTTGGGACAACTTCACGCATGGCCAAATGGCTCGTTTAAAGTTGTTTATGTCGTTTAAAGTTGTTTATGTACTCGGCACGTAAACGTTTTCGCTAAAAAATGCTTTGTTGATATTAAAATGCTTCCTGAAAAAAGCACTTCAAGGTGCTCCTGAAGAAGCATCTACTCTCCATAAAGTGCTTCCAACATTTTGAAAAAAACTTGTCATTTTCGATTTTCTTTGGGAACCCAAAAGAGCAGGAAAAAAAAAACAGTATGCAGGAATGAAGTACCCCATGATTTCAAGCATATGGGAAACCCAGAAATAATAATTAACCAGTAGACTTGGGAAACAACCTGCCTCTGTACTGCATCTTCAAGCAGGGATACCTTGTACACTACTTCAAACACCTATATACTACCAACGCTCCTCACAACCAGCCTTATTTTGCCGAATCACAAGTCAATCACAAGTCGTGTCAAACAGATTTTTTCGTTTCAAAAGCGAATGGGATTCATAACCAGCGACACTGGATAGGAGACGGCTGCTGAAACAAAGGTTGCTGAATGGGAGGTTGCTGAAGCGGAGGCTGTTGCTGGCTAACTTCCTGGCTAGAATTCTGACCAATTTTCAGTGTCTTGAATATTTTTCTCCATTTTCTATATAGCTCTTCTTCATCCGTGGCATAACAATGATTAAAGGTCCAATGTACACATGGCGCCGGCGAGTCACAGACATAACAATGACACTGCATTTTAGAAGGAAAAAGAAAAAAAAAAAAAAGACATCGCAGTGGTATATTGTCAAACTCAGGCAATAAAACAGTATTTGATGGAAATTCTATAAGCAACAGCTTGTAAGAGTCAACTCACAAGTTTACAGTGGTTCTCGGGCCGGGTAGTTTTGAAAGGGAATTTGGCACAAAGATGTCGTGGATGAGGGTAGTCTCTACATGCTACCTGCAACCAAAGAAATAATGTAAGATCAATTAAGATGGAAAAGCAAACGGTGCGTCCATTATCCAACTAATACGAAAATTAAGGGGTTAGACAATGTATGGTGCTACGGTCCTGTATTATGAGAAACAAGTTTAACATAAATAAGTGGCCAAGCAAGCAAACAAGACCAAAAATTCAAAGGGAACTTCTTCAAACCCATTGAACTTCAATATCAAGGTCACCAAAAAGCAAGAAACAGGTTTTCACTTTTACCATAAACCAAGAATATCAAGATAACTACGTCTGAAAAACAATATCATCCAGAAAGACCAAAGTTCATGCTCGCATACAACGGGGCAAAATTTGAAATATGTGTAAATCATTCCGATGCATCCACAATCAACTCTCCCTTACGAGAAAGTTAGTCGCGAAAAGTAGAAAAACAAGTCTTGGATTGTTCCTCTTTCATATGACAACAATATCATTAGCCTAACCCAAAACTTAATGCCTCAACTAATCAGCTTGCTACGTTTTCATGACAACCAAACAGAGTTAAGCACAAGTCGAAAAATTATTAAGATACGATAACCGCAACCCTTCAGTTGAAATTAAATTTCTTTAAATTCTCTAATCAAACCAACAATAAAAAAAACTTCCAAAGCATTTAGTTATCTTTCTCTAACTTCCAATTCAGGTAAACTAAACCAACCAAACAATGCAAATCGTACATAAACCAAAACCAGGTCGAATTTATACCTGCCCCGTTTCCCCAACCACAATCAACTCGTCGGAGCCGCTACCCGAATCCTCCACCACCGAAACGGGCTTATCCGGGTCGCCGTCCAAGACCACACAATCATCGTCATCATCCGCCACCGTCCGTTTCGAAGACTTTTGGCTAGGCTTTGAGTTGACCTCACTAATCAACACAACGTCATCGGAATCATCGTCGTCGGTTACCTTGTCGACGGATTCCAGAAGCTCCGATACACAATCAAAGTTGTCCTCCTCATCCAGGTCGATCCGACCCAGTTGGTCGTCGGAGATACGCGATTGGGCTCCTTCAGCACAGATTGGGCTCCGAGGTAGCTGGATCGGATCAGTTGCAGGAGAAGCATGATGATCGCCGGCAAGAGGGGCAGAGATGCCTTCCCCGGCACCTCGAGAGAGCATTTCCCGACGAAACTTTTCAAGAGAGGCATCGAAGGCTTTGGTGAAGGCCTTTTCGAAGGCCTTGGTGAAGGCCTTTTCGAAGGCATTGTCGATCGCAGTGGCGATGAGGGAAGGTAAAGAGGCGATGATAGCCTCCAAGGAAGCAACGCGAGTTTCCATGGCAGAGTCGCAAGTGGCAGCGGATTGGCGAGCGCGCAAGGAAGGGAATCCAGAATTCAATACGGGTGATACCATTGATAAAACCCTAATCTCAACCCTAGCTCAACCTTAAGTATTACACACACATACAAGAGAGAGAAGGAAGGAAGACCAAGGAAATCTAATAACTTCTGTTTATGAGAATCTTTCCGTAAAGTCACATTCCTTCTTAAATCTGTAGACCATTCAAAAGGAATCTAATCATTTAAACTTCTGTCACATATTTAATCAGTCTTTTTTTATTTTTTTATTTCTTTTATTCAAACCCAATTGAATCACCAATGAAAATTCGTGGAAAAGAGGAAAGGTTGTTGAGCAAAAACAATAAAAAAAAGTAAAGCTTATTAAATTTGTGGCACAACTTTAATTCTTTTTTTTTTTAATAGTAGGGAGATTAAATTTTTTAAATTAAAATTGTAAATCTAATGATATGGTTGTTAATGATTAAATTATTACTTAAGCGTTGATTAATGTGCTTATTTATTATCTGTGACACATCATTTAGTTTACAAATTTAGTTTAAAATTTTGATCTTCCGTATTACCTTTTTTTTTAAACAAATAATATTATATATGCTAAGTGAGGGGAGTTGGCTTACTGTCACATCCTGGACCAGCCACCACCTATCCCCGGCTTGACTCCACCGTAACATGATATTATTCGCTTTGGGCCCTGACCACACCCTCACGGTTTTGTTTCTGGGAACTCACACGAGAACTTCCCAGTGGGTCACCTATCATGGGATTGCTCTCGTGCGAGCTCGCTTAACTTCGGAGTTCCGATGAAATCCGAAGCCAATGAACTCCCAAAAGACTTCGTGCTAGGTAGAGATGGGAATATACATATAAGGCTTGCAGGATCCTCACCCCTGGACGATGTGGGATCTTACACTTACCCTTACAATGAACTAACAATAATATGATTCAAATCGTTTTTTACGAGAATCGAATCTAAAATTTTTCACTTACAAATAAAGATAAATACTAAACATTTTTAAAATGATTTAGATTAAAGAGAGTAGAGAATCCATATTTGTCAGTAAGGTGTCCAGAATTGGCGCCAAAAGTCGGTTTTAATAAACAATTACCTAGAAAAAGGCACATGCTGATCAGTAAAACCTAGGAGGATTTCCTGCGACTAATTATTAATTATATTTAAGGGTAAATTACATAATAACATTCAGATTTGAAGTCTATTACAATCTCATACAACATCTTTAAAACATTGCACTTTCATACCTCACATACTATTTTATTTCAAAATAATATCTCCGTTACATTTTCTATCAATTGATCTGTTAAGCGCTGAAGTGGCTGCCATATTTGTGCCACGTGGCAAAATTTTTTTTTTTTAATTTTTTATAAAAAAAAACCTGAATCTTCTAAATAAAAATAAAAGCTGAAACACACCTCCCTGCAACACCCAAACCCATAAACCTTATCCCTCCACAACCCACGTAGACGCACCTCCTTCCCCTCCTCCTCCTCCTCCTCCTCCATCTTCATCTTTTTCCCCTTGCAACCCAGGAAAAAAAAATGCTCTTCAGTTCGTCTTCCCCCTCCTCATCCTTATCTCGTCTCCCCCATCTTCATCTTTTTTCCCTTGCAACTCAAAAAAAAAAAAAAAACATTTAGTTTGTCTTTTCCCCCATCCTACTTCCCTATCTTCTTCCCCCAACCCCCTACCTTCAACCCAAAAAAAAAACCCAAATCCTGTCTACGCCGCCATCGCCGGGTTCGTGAGGTGAAAATGGGAGGAATGGGTGTGGATTTAAGGAGTGGGGTGTGTAGAGGAGGGAAGAGGGTGGGTGCGGAGGGAGGGTAGGTGCGTGTGCGAGGGTGGGTGCGGGGGGAAAGGGGGTGGGGGTGAAGAGTAGAAAGGGCTCGGGAAGGTGGGGGTGGGGTTCGTTTTTGGATGGGAGGGGAGGTGAAGAAAGTGGAGGAGAGGGAGGTGGTTGGGAGTAGGGCTGGGTTCGGTTCTTATCGGTTCGGTTTTTTGCCAAAACCGAAATTTCGGTTCGGTTCGGTTCGGCCCAAATTTTTTTCGGTTTTTTTCGGTTTTTTTTTTTTCGGTTTTTTTTTTTTTTTCGGTTCGGTTTCGGCTTTTTTTCGGTTTTTTTTTTTTTTTTCCTCCAAAAAATGCAAAACAAGCACAACATAATATAGAAATAGAAAATATGACATGTTTCCATCTCTACGTATAAAGTCTCATAAAACTAAAAGTCTCATAAAACTTAAAGTCCAACTAGAAATAGAATCAATCATCAATCAAGTTTAAGTCTTCAAAAAGTCCAAATTAAACATCAAAGTTTAAGTCTTCAAAAAGTCCAAATTTAAACATCACACAAGTCAAATAAACCTTCAAGGTTTCATCACTTCATGTCTTGCACAAATAAAATCTTCCAAGTCTTCAAGCTCAAGCTCAACGCATAGGCGGCCTAGGAGGCAACATATCACCTTTCTTTGAGCTTCCCCTTGCCATTTCTACATACAAATAAAAATAAAAATAAGAACATGACATAATTGGCACACATACTTGGCATAATTGAAATTTCAGATTATATTTTTGGCACACATACTTGGCATAATTGAAATTTCCAGCAACTATAGTACATAGTTACTAGCGAAGAAAACAATGACACCTTAGTTCAAAGTATCTGGATCTACAAACTAAACATGCAACGAGAAAAAACTCTCACATACTTCCCTTAAAGGTTCATCTGCTGTATTGAAAAATTAACTAATGAACCATGTTAGAGCAAAAACGCAACAGTTTGTATTATTTATAACAAAACGTAAACAAGCCTTGTGACTTGAATAAGCTAAAGACAGTCCATGCCATGGCAAAATTTGACAGATTTAAGACAGCATTGCTAATGACTTCAACTCTTCTTCCTCACATCCTGTGTAGTACTAAAATCTTATACAAAACATCTACAGAACCCATCTCGTACACATCTAAGTCAAAGCATCTGCAGAACGGAACCCATCTCGTACTCAAACAACACCGAGTCGCATGTTTTCAATGCTGAGTCGGATTTCTTACTCAAATAATTCCCAGAGCTTCAAGCTAGTACAGTACCATTCCTAATTCCTAAAGCTCAGTTATTCAATACAAACTACAACAATTCTATTATGAATCCGAATGCATTACTATCCAAAATGAAATTTAAACCGATGTAATCCAGTACCCCTAACCAAACAAACCCTAAATTCTCCCAATAACAGAAAAAAAAAGCTCACCCTTAAACGAAGCCTTGAGCCTCCTAAACGAATCATCCCGTTTCTTATTCTCCACCACCACCATCCTTTCATACTCCTCCTCCTCGACCGTACGGCTCTGCTTCTTCTTCACCTCATCCGAATTCTTCTCCAACGCCGCCTGCTCCTCTTTTTCGAAATCCTTCTCCTCCAGATCCGCTAATCGGCGGGCCTCGGACTTCCGCGTGGCAGCCTCCGCCAGCTTCTCGGCTTCTTCCTCGCGCTTCTTGGCCACGGGGGATTTGCTGATGAAGCATTCTCGTTGCAGCCATCCCAGGGAGTCGGTGACCCCCAAATCCTTCAAATCCTTCAAAGCCCAATCCCCGAGAACCCCCAAATCTACGACACCTCCAACTTCCTCCCCCACCGCCGCCTTTCCTCCTCCTCCTCCTCTTGGCGGTGCTCCCTTCGCTCCAAGGACGCCGTCATCTTCCTCGCGCTTCTTGGCCGCGGGGGATTTGCTGCCCTTCACCTCGCACCAGTACTACTCGTCCTTCTCGCGAGCCTCGCGTTCCTTGCGCTTGGCTTCGATGAAGCTCTTCACAGAGAGACAGAGAGAGTGAGAGAGATGAGGCTCGGCTGCGCGAGAGGGTTACTGGGCTAGGTTACACTGGAGGCAGGGAATGAGAGAGAGAAGAGAGGAATGAAAAAAATAAAAGGTGCAGCTAGGGTTAAAACTTAAAAGGTTTGTTGATTGCTAAAAAAAACTAAAAAACTTTTCTGAAACCTTGGAGGCATAAGGATTCGAACCCATGCGCAGGGGCTTGAAGAGTTTCAAGCAAACCAACTTGGTAACTGGTTATGTCTTGTTATGATTGTATCACTAAATTATTTATAATATTGAAAAAAAATTAAATATATATATCTGTTCGGTTCGGTTCGGTTTCCGAACCTTAAAAACCGAAACCGAACCAGCCAGATTCGGTTCGGTTCGGTTTGGCAGTTTCGGTTCGGTTTTTTTTCGGCCTCGGTTCGGTTTGGTTTTCGGTTTTTTTCGGTTATTTGAACCCACCCCTAGTTGGGAGGCTTGGGAGGGAGAAGAGGGGTGGGGAGAGGTTGTGGGGGTGGGTTCTACATCTTCTAAGTTTTGTTTTTTTAAGAAGATTCATGTTTTTTTTTTTAAATTAAAAAATTATTTTTTTTGTCACGTGGCACACATTTGGCAGCCATATGGCAACCACGTTAGCGCTTAACGGATCAATAGATGAAAAATGTAACAGAGGTATTATTTTGAAATAAAATAGTACGTAAGGTACGAAAGTGAAATATTTTAAAAATGTTGTATGAGATTGTAATATATTTCAAATATGAAAAGGTATTATGTAATTTACCCTATATTTAATTCGGTGCAAAATTCGACGGTCAGGATCATTCGACTTACAACACAACAGCATCGCAACGGCATTTACAGTTTTGTCCGGTGGAAGTGGGGTACTTTCTGCACACGACACGTCGGATGTTAAAGCCAAAAACATTTTTTGTTAGTGGAAGTTATTACGATTATGATACTTTTTTAACTTTTTTTATAATTGCGTTTTAGGCCTTGGGGTTTTTTATAATGACGTAATTCCACCCATTACTCTCTTCTACATGGGGAGCCCCTCTTATTTTTATTTATTTATTTAGTTAATATTATGTAGTTAGGAATGCATCATGGAAGTATGCATATTACCCATTACTTTCTAATACATCATGGAAAGTATTCATGCTACATTCTTTTATGTAGTTAGGAATAGTCGAAGTGGTGACAATGAGAAATGAGTTATGATTAAGTTAGAGGTAACTTTTAGAGAGGGGTGGGGAGAACAAAAGTTGCAATTGCACAGGTTTTCAAATTTGTTTTGAAAGTTATTGCTTTCTAGTATTAATATATTGTCTTATATATATATATATATATATTTTTTTTTTTTTTTTTTATGGGAAACTATCTTAAGGAGGGGCTCTTTCAATTTCAAAAAAGTTAAGGGGAAATTGGTTAATCCCGTAATCAGCACCAGTGCATACCAACAACTTCGAGGTAGACGTAGTTACATGTGTCACCTAACTATCAACTGCCAAATGTATATATGGATTTACGTAGGAATTTACAGATCACGCATCAACTGGAACTATTGATAGTGAAACTCAAACCTTGGTGGGCAACACAGAAGGCATGAAACTTACCAACCAAGCCAACCCTCGTTGACCTCAGCCACTTCCCTTTAATATTACACTTCACATAATTTGTAGGAGGTGATTCCATTTAGCAACATACATTTTTTTTGTTTTTATAGGAATAAGGTGTTTTATTTTATCAAGAACAAAAACATAATCTTAAATAAAATACTCGTTACGTAAAAATAATTACACAGTGCGAATAAAAAAGAAACAAAAGAGAACACCAAAAAGTTTCTTTGTAACATCCCACATCATCCAGGGGAGTGGATCCTGTAAGCCTTATATGTACATTCTCATCTCTACCTAGCACGAGGCCTTTTGGGAACTTACTGGCTTCGGGTTCCGTCGGAACTTCGAAGTTAAGCGAGAAGATGGCCAGAGCACTCCCAAAGATGGATGACCCACTAGGAAGTTCTCGTGTGAGTTCCCAGAAACAAAACTGTGATGGCATGGTCGAAGCCCAAAGCGGACAATATCATGCTAGGACTCTATGATGGGTGACCCACTGGGAAGTTGCTCGTGAGTTCCCAGAAACAAAACCGTGATGACATGGTTGAAGCCCAAAGCGGACAATATCATGCTAGGACGGAGTCGAGCTCAGAAAGTGGTCCCGCCCGGGCAGGGATGTGACACTCTTACAAAATAACTTTTTTTATTAGTACATCGATATTTTTACACTAGGAAAGGGGGAGTTCTGCTAAACCACACAATAGACAACCTAATTTGATATCGAATTCGCCATTCACGAGATTCGAACCTAAGACCTTTCACTTCCAAGTAAAGAAGAATACCACCAGACCGTAATACTAAGCAGCTCTTAAAAAGTTGCTCCTTCCATTTTAGCAACATACTAAGGATCCCATCATGCGACATTTCTTCTATTAGAAACTGGATAATATATAATTAATTATAATATTGTTCATAATTTCAATTTTGTTAGAAATGCTTTAAAATGGGCAGTATAAATGATAGTTCTCTTAGACAGTTTATTTTGTTTTTGTAATATACAACTGATAGGGGGAAAATCCTAAATCAAATATAAAATTTATTGTGTAAATTAAATGTTCTTAATCACTTAAATTCTAAGTTCCTTAGGAACAATATCCAATTATATATAATGAATAGGGTGCATCCACATCCACGTAAATTTTCTTTTCGTATAGAATAACCAAAAAAAAAATATATATATATATATATATTTGTTTGTAACGGCATATGGTCCAAAAAATAACAAGACCTTTTTTGTTTTATCTTCTTTTGTCCCGATAAGAAAACTGAAAATGTCTGCATGGTGCAATAGCGAATATGTGAAAATCAAGGGGTGGTTTCAGATATTCTCTGAATTTCGATTTCTACCTGAGTTGTCTTTTCCTTTTTTCTGTTCGCTCTCGCCACATCCTTGTCCCTTGGGTTTGTCTAACTTCCGCCCCCTGCTTTCACAGACCACCTCGTCCTAAATAAAACCTTCCTCTCCTCTCTCTTTATACAACCCCATTCCAAATTTAGCAACTCTTTCTCTCTCTCTCTCTCTCTCTCTCTCTCTGAAGGACAATCCATTTGAAACCAAACAAAGAGGTACTAATATTTCTCAAATCCCAGCCTAATATGAATTTTTATTTGTTTTATTTACTCATTTTTTCTTATTAATCTGCATTATGATATTTAATTTCCTCATGCAGTTACCATCTGAATTATGCCCCTTCATCTTCTGTTTCAGTTACAAATCAATGATGATAGCATTCACAAATTTTGAAATTTATTTGAAATTCATAAATGCCTGATTTTTTGCTCTTTCATTTCTCTGCATTATTATTGTGTTTGTATTGAATTTTGTGCTTTGCTTCACATTCTATGGGTACTTTCAGGGTGCAAATTGTTTGCCTGATTAAAAAGTTCAAAACTTGTATTCAAAACAGTGGAGTTGGTGCGCAAAGGACATAAATTTGTGGATTTTGTGAGTAGATTGAATGCTTCTGTGATCTGGGTTTTTGCGAAATCGAGGATCAAACACATTTAAGGAGAGAATCCTTTCGGATTTCGTGTTTTTTTTTGTTTGCATCTGGGTCTTGTTATTGTGGGTCGGAATGTTGGAGTGATAAGAAATAGTAAAATGGGTTGAATGTATGCTGGTTTTGGGATTTTTTAAACAATGGAGCGACGCGTATTAATTCGGTGAAATGAGCATTTTATAAAGATTAGATAAGGGTTTTAAAATGGAGGGTAAAGAAGATGGTGAAGCATACGAAGAGCGGCCTCCGTCGCCTGCTCAGGTTTTGCAGGAAATATCTGAGGGGGCATTTAAAGTGGCAGGGGAAACACTGCAAAATGTGGTCTCAGGTAAATCGAGCATGCCACCACTGGCACCGGGGCATACGCGCTCCCAAAGTGAAGTTGTAACTACGACACACAGACGGAGCAATAGCTTTCAAAAATTGAAAACTCAGATGCAGAAGGCTTGGAGATGGGGTGGAAGTTCGCGGGATGGTTTGCGGTTGTCTTTCAATCCTGAGGTTTTGGCAAACCAAAAACGCCAGTGGTATCAGCGTTACTCCAAATCAAAGGTATCCTTTTCTATGGCATTGCTTGATACATTGTTGCTACACAAAAAAGGAAAAACAGAAAACAGAACTTGATTACTCGAGAATTTCATGCTATCGAGTAATAGTAAATAAAGACGGTTTAAACTTAATCTATTGTGTAAGAAAGTAACCTTTTTTTCCTCTTCTTTGTTTATGAATATAGGTGTAGGATTTTTGATTGCATAATCAGACATGAAAACTAGAAAAAGTAAATGATTAAATGTAGCGATTATAAAAATCTTGGAACCAGTTTCCCCCGCGATGCTTGAATGTTATTGCTTAAAAAATCTCTTTTCTTTACTGGTTTAATTGTCTGTCTAATTTACTAAAGTTTTATGATTATGCCGTTCTAGGGCCATATAAAATATACCGAGCCAACTTCACTCTTTGAGCATTTTATTATTGCGGGGCTTCATCCTGATGCTAACCTTGACACTGCGGAGGATGCATTTGTTAAAAGAAAGAAATGGGAGATGGAGATGATAAATTGCGGAATTGTTGACCTTAAATTGCTACAGCAGCGGGGACCTCCAATTCCTACATTAGAACCTCAGGTTGGGCGTATAACTGCATCAGAAGTTCCCAGGAACTTTGTTTCTCTTTGGCATGCGATGATAATTTATATGTTCCTGAATGTTTTACTGGAACTACAGATACTTTTTAAATATCCTCCTGGGAAGCGGTTTGATATGCGTTTGACAGATTTAGCTTCCTTTTGTTTTCCTGGAGGGGTTAAGGTTTGATATTGCTCATTTTCCATTAATTTTAAATTCACTCATTATCTTGTATTTATTTAACACTTATGTTGCATTGATATAATATACTGTTCTCTTACAGGCACGGTTATTGGAGAAGACTCCGTCACTAAGTGATTTAAATCAAGTTGTTTATGGACAGGTACACGAAAACGTGTCTCATAATCTATTACATATATATTCATCAACTTTTCAATTTCTCTTCATTTTATCTCGTCACAAAACACAACTTCTTGTAGGGGTTGGTTCAGTTTCAATCGGTTAGATTTTTTACCAAAACAAAAAATTGAACTGAAATTACTGAGCTATCTTCGGTTTGGTTTGACTTTGGTTCAGTTTTTTTTTATATTTATAAAATCTGAAAATTGTTTAAAAAAATTGAAATTGGTCCTTTGGAAAAAAAAAAGGAAGGAAAAAATATCGAGATTTTGTAAAACTTCAAATTTGCGTCTCTGACAATATTGTCGTACAGGGCCTGGTGTTCACAATCTAGGTACTAATAGCACAGTAACATAAACACTGTATGAGGAAAAGTAGAGCCTGTAGCCTTTTTATTGCCTTTTCGTTATACTTCTGCATCTAAATTTTCTTTTTCTACAAAATAACCAAGTGAAAAACAAAAGAATACAAAGTGTAATTGGTATTGAACAATGGAGAGTAGGTGACACAAAATTACCTTTTCCTTTTATTTTTGCTCGCTCATATCTTAATGCTAAACAGTTAGGAAATGAGCCACCAATGTGTATCAAGCTAACATGCTTTTTCGCGTGCAGTCGATCTTGCACGTGGAAAGGCAACCATACATGTTGATGGAGAAACGCAGGTTCAGTCCCAACCTGCACTTTTAAAACTAATAAATAAGTAGGGTAACAAGGATATGAGGTTTCAAACACAAGACCCCTGGGGATAAAGCTCTGATATTACCATTGAACATCAGAAGCTAAAACAAGATCAATTGTTTTAAAATGGGTCCTAAGTTTAATCAGTTATGTGTGGCCTCGAAAAAATCATTGTGAGTCGTGTCCATTTAGAGTTTGCAGACTGATTTTCCACTTTATGTTTCATTTCATTATTTATCGATTAGTTTTACATAAATATTTAAATATAAAACACAGATAGCACTCTAATTATCAGATATTCTCGACAGGAGCATTTAGGCAAAGATGATTTATCATTTATTTTCTCACTCAAGGTATCTTATGTTCATTTTGTCCCCTTTGAAGATTTGTACAGTTGTTATTTCAGCTTGCTATTTACATATGTTTGTAGCACACACGGTTACTAAAAAGGTAATACCCTTTGATCAGGTGGCAGACAATGCAACACTTTATGGTGTTTGCCTGCACGTGTCAGAAATTGTTCAGAGGCCTCCTGCTATCTTAGGCATCTCATCACCTAATTCTCATTCGACAGGAGGACTCTTCCGCTTTTTGGTTTCTGCACCTCGATGCTACTGTGTGCTATCCAGAGTTCCTTTTTTTGAGTTACATTACGAGATGCTGAATAGGTGAGTTGTAGTTTTTATTTCTCTATAATTTGTAAGTATAGTATAGACATTTCAAAATTTTATTTATCCTTGTAAAAAAATCAATGCATTTCACCGCATTTTACTTGGATGATGCAGTATCATTCAACAGGAGCGTCTGAAGCGAATAACACAATTTGCTAGTGAAATGGCCCTCAATGATTTTGTCCCTACATTGCCCAAAGTACAAGATTATGATAATGAGTCCCCTGAGAGGGAGTCTTTTGATAATTGGATGGACTCCGCAATACCAGTGAACAGTTCAATTGCACTTACAGTTGCTGGTGCAGGAATCAGACCGGAGGATGAGACTCCACCTTCTTCACTCAAGATATGGGAACTGCAGTCCCCTGAAAGTGTTTCTGCTAGCGAAAGTTCAGATTTTTGTCAAGTACGGTATTTAGACAAAGATGGTAGAAGGGATTCACAATGTTCTGATGACTATGGTTTTGAGGCCTCTGAAACTCGTTCAGAGGCTTCAGAAAGAATATGCGCAATCTATGGAAATGACCATACTTCTCCAGAGGTTGGGACATCTTTCTCCACCAGGAATCGCACATTGGAGCGTCTTGGCAGTTCTGAATCTCTATTCAGGTGGTAAATATATGTCTATTCTACTATTCGATTTATTGTTTTATGCTTTAGAGATGAAGTAGTGGGGTTTTTTTTAATGCTATGTCTGTATATATGCTGCTATATGAGATTAAGTAGTACTTGAATAGCTCCATTATTAGTTTCAATCTCAATTCTTTATGCCGTGTAAAATAACTTGATGCCACTCTCCCATGTTACCATACAAGTACAAGTTCAATAATCTATTATTATCTTTGGCAGTCCAGCTAGAAGCATGGTATCGGAGGATGAAGATGATGACCTTTCCTCAACGTGTGAGAAAGAGTTTGGTGATGAACTAATAATGGAATGGGCTAGGGTGAGTTTACCAACACTGCAATCTTACTAATTTTATTTCTCTATTATTGATAATTTGATTTCCCTTTGACAGTTATTTTTGTATCAACTCTCTATGATAGGAGAACAAGAACGATTTATTACAGATTCTTTGTGGTTTTCATGCTTTGCCTCTCCCGCAACGAGGAAGTGAGTTTTCTTTTCAACCTCTTGAACACCTACAAGCTACTGAGTATAGGAGACCTTCAGTTGCTGCTCTTGGTTTTGATGAGAATAGTGTTGATTCATTTGAAGATCCTGGGGTATTTGGTTGATTTCTCATTTTTTAAGGCCTCTCTCTCTCTCTCTCTCTCTCTATAAATTTTGTTGTATTCTTTAATATTGGCTTAACGTTACTTCACTTGGTTAAAGGTCAATGTTATGTTAGCTGCTGCTGAGGAAGCGCTTGCACTATCAATATGGACAACTGCAACAATTTGCCGAGTTCTCTCCCTTGAAAGTGTAAGCTTCAATGTTTGCCTTGAGTTCAGCTGGTGTTAAGATTGTAAATAATTTTTACCATCTGGTCCAGATTCTTTTTAAGCAATATTTATTCGCACCATGTGACTCAATTAGTTTTTTGTTTTTCCTTTGATTCAAGTCCATTGTGAGACTGAAACATTTTGAATCCCGTACCACACTGACAATGATGTTTATGCTTGAGCTTTTCACTTTTCATGTGATTTACCATATTTTGTGGATTGTTGTTTAGTTACAGAAAAAAAATACGGGAACTTGTTAGCATAGCTCTTCTGGAATTGTTAGGCATACGACCCCTTGACATTCTAACCTAACTGCGTATTTGCATGTGGGCTCACTTTTGTCCCTGGAAAAAGAAGTCTTTTTTTTTCCGTCAACCCCTTAGTAAATATTGTTGTCTACACTTACTGATTCATCAGTGGTGTTTTTGCCAGATTTTGTCATTGCTTACGGGAGTATTACTAGAAAAACAAGTGGTGGTAGTGTGTCCGAATCTGGTAAGTAATTGTTTGTATTGGAGTTACGTGCATCAATCCTGAGAGCACTTTCTATTTTCATCGTTTGATCATTTGACACTGCAATCAATGCAGGGTGTGCTATCAGCTACAGTATTGTCTCTCATTCCCATGATTCGTCCATTTCAATGGCAGAGTTTAATGCTTCCTGTAAGTTTGATTTATTGCTGAACGTAAAATATTTGCTTATAGCTAAAACCTTGTTAATTATTTAAGCGATATCATTGATGACATCCTGAAAATATGTTTTTCTCTAAGTTTCTTCAATATCTTCAGGTTCTACCAGGGAAAATACTTGATTTTCTTGACGCCCCAGTTCCATTTATTGTGAGTTTCGTTTCATTTTTACAGTTGTATTTGTATAAATGTATTTCATTGTATTACTCTCTCAGACCGAATGTTCGACATTTTAGGATTCATCTTTCCAAGTGAGGTGTTAATGCTATGCTAGTATGTGCGGTTAACTTTAAGGCTTGACCAAAAACAGTTCCTTGCTTTGCTTGGATATTCTGTATTCATGAAGCCAGAAATCTAAATGGGATGTCATCAAGTCATCTCCAAATTCATATACTTCTTAGGCAGTTAAAACATTCCGCATCTAATTTTTCTTTTTGATTTGTTTAGTTTACCTATTACTGAGTCTTGAATATTTGTTTTGAAACAGCATGTACTGTTTATGAACTAGGGTTTGAAGTGAAGTGGTAATCCCGTCAAGTATTACCCTCTAGAAAGCTTCTGATAGTTTTAACTCTCGGAATTCTATTCTGTGCCTAAATGTTATATTACTCTCTGGTATATATAGAAAATCCTAATTGTATTGCCAAGAGAAATCATGTGTCAAGTTCTCACTTAAATTTTGAGGGTTGTAATAAAAAAACTGTCATTAATTTTAGTTCAATTTCCTTTGTGCTCTTGTCATATGGCAGATTGGGATACAACAGGTTCCTGCAGACCTGAAGAGGAAAACGTCGGATCCTGTTCAAGTTAATGTGCAAAAGGATCAGGTTTCTTTTATTCTCATTTAGTTTTTTCGGCTACTTTTTTCCTTATCACTGGCTTTATAAAGAGGTAGGTGTCTCTAGAACGCTATGGGAAGATCTTTGAATTCTCGCATCTTCGAGTCAAGCAACGAGTTGATCATTCAAGAAGTCCTTTTTTCTTTTAGGGATTATCTCTTCAGAACTACAGAATGCTCAATTTTTTATGCCACCTTAGAGGAATTACAACATATTTTACATCTTGCAGTATTCAAATTAAGAATAACGAGTGTACTTACTGTTACTTGTTCATGCAGGTGAAAATGTGTCATTTGCCGTCACTTCCAGGACATAAAGATCTAGCCACTGAATTAGGGCCCATCCATGCTAGACTGTCGCGTGAAGGTTCATTTGCTCAAAAGCATCCTGTATATAGGTGCAACGAAGTGCAGGTTTACTGTCATACTTGCATGCTTACTGCTTCTGCTCGTGATTCTGCTGGCTTTACACTTGGAAACTTCATATTTTATTGCACATGCAGATACCAAATTATGGAAAAATGTTTTAGAATCAATGATTGTTCAACAATTTATCATACTTTTCTAGGCAGTTCCAGCATTTTACTTATCACGAATGCCAATACATATCTCGTTCCTACATGCTTCAGATCGAAGCTGCAGGCCAGTTTTTGGAAGTCATGAAGAACTACGCGGAATCACTTTGTTCAGATCTAAGGTCTTACACAATAACAAGTGTACAATCAAACAGTGACAGGGTAGAGAAACTAACACTGTAATTTCTATATTCCTAGAAGTTCTCGATGAAATAAACTGGAAATACCACAGAGTACATGGCTTGTTACACTTTTTGACATGTAAATCTTTTACCGTCCTTTCAGGTTTCTTTACTTCTTAAAGATAGCTTTATCGATTCCTTTCCGAGCAAGGACAGACAATTTATGAAGGTAACCTGCAATCCTTTCTAAACTTCTCCTGGATCTTTCATTTGTAGCCTATCGCCTCTCTTTTATTTCATTTGCAATTTTCGGCTTGTGCAGTTATTTGTGGACACACAGATGTTCACTGTTCTAACTGACTCTCGTTTGTCAAGCTTCGAGAATGGTGACCCCTAAGAGAAACCTGATACAGAAGTTAAATGAGCACATCATTCGAAGATTCCAAGTTGCAACTCAAAGATTTGTCTCAAGGATAACGACTTCTCCAACTGTTGACGAAGGACGAGGTGCAAGTAACTTGGAGGGAAGGGGTGGAATGGCTCCTGGCCCGGTTGGGATGGCCTGCCGAAGGAATTTTATTCAACCTAACATGGTTTGGGAGCTTCTATCTCTGCAAACTGCTAGCTAAAGCTTGCAGCAAATACTTTGCAACATAAAAGTTAGGGGTGTGCTATCCACACATCCCTTTTTACTTCTCATACACCCTTGTTAACTTTTGTCCGTTGATCTTCTTTAATTCATCCGATCCGACGGTTGAAACAAAAAAGGTGTGAGAGAAGTAAAAAAGGGTGTGTGGATATCACACCCCAAAAGTTATAGTCCAAAGTGCAAATCTCCACACCAATGTATTGTATTGCACACCCTATAGGATCATAATCCCGATATTTTACGGGAATATGATGTTCGATGTAACGAATTTCTGTATCGTATCAAAAATCTTGTAAATGTCAATGGACATAAAAGATGTTGCTTCTGATGTCAATAAAACGTAAGAGAGAAAAAATCATGGGTCCTGAAAAATATTGACACTAGTTGTAGCAGTAAACTAAATCATGTTTGCCCATACCATTTATGTCTCCCAATAAATACGTAAGTTTTGTATATTACATAGGATAGAGTTGTCATTGAAAAAAGTGGATGGATAAATAGCAGCGCTCTTTCACATGGAAGAGGATTCTCTCCGGATCCACTTTGTGAGGATCTTAGGGATAGCTGTTTATCGTATATCGTGCGATCAATTTTCGTCAGATACTATTGGTGTTTAATTTTAAATAAAAAAAAGTCAAATGATTTATGATCAGCGTGGCTCACCAAATCCACCCCAAAACCCTAGCGTGCAACATCCCGTCCATTCCCCCCATCATTTGGGTGTTTTAGCAACATTGTCCGGATCCTGCATTGCCTTGTAGAAGGCCAGGAAGACGGAGGGAAGAGTAGTTGTAGTAGCACGCACATAAGCAAGCCTGCATTGAGTTGCCTTTCCGACAGGGAGCAGTATTCCCAGGCCTATAGAACCATTATGATGCATGAAAGCATTGCGAGGAAGTTTTTCCCACGACCGGAATACCAAGATGATGTTACAGAGGCCGATTACACAGACATGGTCCTATATCCCCATTGCTTTTGGACTTCTGGTGTCTGAATTGAGTGAAGAGCCATGGAAGGGGAATGTGAGCAGTCACGGCGATTGGCATGAGGTGCATTTTATACAAGGCGAGGATGTTAGGTGCAAGCCACCGAGACTGATCATAGCGGTGAATATTGTAGCACCTGGAAGATTGAGTGTATGAGGTCAGGATGAAGGCTATGGGAATGTGGTGCCACACATTTTGTTTTGGACTTTGTCGGAATACCAAGCCGGTGCAGCCTTGTACGCAGCCCGGGTTGACGGTATTGAGTGGCTTCTACAACATCGGTCTTGCTGAAGATGCTCTCGGACAAGACATCGGCCGAGACCATGTCACGGAAGCAGCCACATCCGGCGAAGAGAGGCTGGCCGTGGTGGACTGACACGCCTAAGATTAAATATGGAGCCTTAACTAGTTGTGTTCATTGCATGTTATTTTATCTTGAATTTTTGCTTTTTGTTTGTAGGAAGAGGGTAAGGATTGACGGGTTCTAGCTAGAACTGGACATTTCTGTAGACAAGATATCACTGCTAATTAAACCTTTCCAACATGAGAGAGAGGCATACATATTCTTACCAGCTACCGTAAACTAGGGTCGTTTAACGATCCATCAAACCGTACTAGTTAGGGTCGTTACAATTTCTCGTGTTCAAAATGCTTCATCGTACAATGATTCCGAGTTGAAAGTCGAAGTTTTGTCTGTCATGGCTTCTGTAGCTGCTTTGACGAATCACAAGGCACGAGTACATTTAGAATAAGGCGTGGAACGGTTTCTGTTTCTGTCCGGGATGGCCTGCAAATGAATTTTTCTCAACCTACTATGGATTGGGAGCCACTATCTCTGTGAACTGCCAGCAAGAGCTTGCGGGAATAGTCTTAAACGCGAGCTTGCTCGGATCATTTCTCTTCATCCTCAGAGTCTGATTTTGCAAAAACTGTTTCAGGCTGGGTTTGTGCATAAGCTGGAGCAATGTATTTTGGTTCTTTTACTGCAACATCGGCATACTTCAGTATGGCTTCTCTCGGATCTTCGTCCATCCACGTCTCCTTGATCATACCCCCTTGCTGAGATGGGACTCAAAGGATCAGTATATGTTTTCCGCAGTTATACTAAATCCCGGAACTAAAGATAAATACATGTTTAATGGGGAAAAAAACGTTACCTTCATGAGGTACTGGGTCAATAAGCTTCCTTTACTTGCGCCAACTCTTCCACCAAAACCTGGTCCGGTCATGGGGAGTTCAGGCTTATGGGATTTCAGTGGGTCCTTCAGTGCTTTCTCTCGCTCACGCTTACGGCTTGGCTGATCTCTGAATAAGGGTAGAGCATGAGGGTTGTGAACCACTGGTTTTGCCTCAAAATCATCCATAGACTTTTTCCTTGGGGCACGCGCAACACATACAAGGGCTCCTCTTTCACTAAGGGTTGGATCGTATAACACATGAGTTCCTCCTTGGCTTTTATCTCCTGATGTTGCAAAAATCTTCAAAAACAAAGGCGTGTAAGATTTTTCATTTTTTTTTAATTTTGGAAAATCAAAGGCATGTAATTTCTGAGTATATCTGCACTCTTCATAAATTGTGCATGCATGCATACGAATGAGTTGTGCGATTTTTTTTTTTTAAACTTTGGAAAATCAAAGGCATGTAATTTCTGAGTATATTTGCACTCTTCATAAATTGTGCATGCATGCATACGAATGTGTTGTACGATTCTCAAATAGATCAACGAGCATGCTAGACCAGTTCAGGAAAATGATGGACCATCACTGAGAGCATTACCTGATTGAGTTTTGGGTGCCAGGCACACTGCACAACACTACAGGTGGGGGATATCCCAACTTTTGAAACAAGTTCAAGTTTTGCTCGATCAAAGAAGCATAGCAAACCTCCAGTGGTGCTCTCCCTTTCAATAGACGTTCCAGTCAAGAAGAGTTGCTCATTGGGACTAAAAGCTACATTAGTTTGGGCATAGTTGTTTGGGAGATCCTCAAATGCCTTAAGAGGATCCTTCATCTGACGCAAATCCCAAACCTAGTACACATTATGTAATTAGTAGGGAAATACACAACAGAAAGAACAAATCTTGACGAAGCACATCCTAGACTGCTAATAAACAGCAGTATATTCTTTATACAGGAAATGCATTACCTTCAATGTCCCATCAAGGCTTCTTGATAGTAAGATTCTCCCATCCATAGAAAATTTTAGCCCGGTAATATCGTCTGAATGACTATTCTGAACATGTATATCTGGCCTGCTTCCCCATCCAGGCTTAAGGTTCCATACCTGTCAAAATGATACATGCACTGTGAGAAGAAGCTAATGCAAAAATCGAACAATATAAATCTATCTATTTATCTATCCAAGCAATGCAAACTTCCATTTGTGGGGAGGGGCCTTGTGAGCTAATTCACTACTGCGGTTATTGAAGTAAGATATTCCAGCCAATACCTGTATAGAACCATCTCCTATACCACCTGCAATACGTTTTCCGTCGCGATCCCAAGCACAAGTGGTGACCGGAACTCTTCCAGGCCGAGCAAGTTTTGGCTTGATTACCTATTCATTGAAATACAGCATCATTTAGTCTAACACATCAAGTTCAGTAACATGCATTCTCATTAGCACAAGTAAAACAGAGTAGAAATGAATATAATGACAATAAACTCAATTAGCAATCCAATTCGTTATTACATAAAGCAATTCCAAATTCAGCAATGAACAAAGCAATTTTCTAGTGCCATAGTTATGCATGACAAGTGACGCTCATATTATTCAAAAACATTGCCTTAAAGAAAATCGAAAACAATATCGAACCTGTTTCTGACTTTTGAAGTCATTGACATCCCAAATACGTAGAGATCCATCCTCGGACGAAGTTAAAATCGTGTCTTTACTTTTAGGATTCCACTCTCCACAAGTCAATCCAGTTATGTGGCCCTTGGTGTTCTTGAGATCACGAATATACATGTCCCCTTTTACAAACTCTCCCAAAGTAAGTCCATCACGATCATAGATCTGCAAAATCCGCATGAAATCGAAAAGGGTATAAGCAATGCAAATTGCCCATCACGCACCAACTCCAAATACACAAAACCCAAACCAAATAATGCAAAACAATAACAGGAAGATGAATTGTAAGGTTGAGCAGCACCTTCGCCGTAGCCGAGCCAGTAACACAGAGAAACCGGTCCGCCGTGGGGCTCCAGCTGATGGTTCGAACTTGGTGGCCTTCTGATGGCTCGAGCTGCCGGAAAGACTGCAACTTTGAATTCATTCCCTGGAAATCGTACATCCGCACGGAGTAGTCGTAGCTGCCTGAAACAACTCGAGACCCAGTGTGATCGATGGCGAGTGCGGAAACGACTTTTGTGTGTCCCTTGAGAACAATCTCATTGCTCACCGGAATTCGGAACCTGTTTTCGAAATTCGCCTCCGAATCAGAATCGGAATCGGAATCGTCCCTATTGGACCCAGCCGGCGGCCTCGGCGGTCCAATCAACTCACCATCGTCGTCGTCTCCAAGCTCGGATTGCGGCGGCGGAGGGGGCGGTCCAACCATGGCATCGCCATCGTCGTTCTCGTTAGGGTTGGAGTTGGGGTTGGGATTGGGGTTAGGGTTTTTGGGGGCGCGGATGGAGCTGAGCCAGGTTTGGGAGGAGGAGGAGAGAGAAGGGAGGCCGGTCGTTTTGGAGGCGGCGGAGGAGGATTTTTCCGGAGGGTTGTTGCTGACGGAACGACGAGTCGTGTTGTGAATGGCTTCGAGAGGGGTTTGAGACTTAGATTGCTTCCCGAACGATAGAGGAAAAGCAGCTCTGATTCCGTCGTACATCTCTGCCTCGTCGTCCGCCATTGGAACTTGTCTTTCTCTCTCTCTCTGCACTACACTCTTCTTCTTCTTCGTTTCGTCGTCGATGCCTAAAACGTCGCCGTTTTTCTGGTGTTTTCCGATATAGACCTGTTTATATGCGTCCAGACTCCACCGCCTTTAACCGGGAGAGAGGGGAATAGCTGGTGGGCTAGCCCAATTTTTGTGTTTTCTCGGACCGAGCCCAAAAATATTTTATTTTTTCTAAAGCCCAATTGACTTTTGATACCCGGTCCCTAAAATTCAACTTGGGGTGTGCTATCTACACACACCTTGCTAATTTCTGTCATTTGATCTTCTTTAATTCATCCGATCCGACGGTCAAAAATTAGAAGGGTATGTGAGAAGTAAAAAGAGGTGTGTGGATAGCACACCCTTTTAACTTACAAAATTTACAAGAGTAACGCTAAGAGACCAACTATTTAGTTTTAAATTTGTAAACCATATGACGTGAATGTTAATAATTAGATTATTACTTAAGTGTTGATATACGTGCTTTTTTTATTGGTGACACATCATATGAGTTGCAAACTTGGTCTAACACATGCATTTTAGTCTTTCTTAACCATCATCATATGATTCATTAGCGTCAGGAATCCAAAAATCAAACTCAGGACGTGGCTTGTGGAATACAATCCTGAAATTCATCTCCAACTACTGGACCATCTGTGGTGGTTTTTATTTTTTTTATTTTTGTTAACTAAAGTGTTTTTTTTTTTAAACATCACCATTCAGAAGAGGCTTACATGTAAATTGTAATGCTGATATTATTTTGTGATATTTCCAGTTAATAATAATACACGAAGAAACTCATAATTGATATTATATTATTAGCTCACCACGCTGATGGTGATATAATTGTTACATGTCTTTCCCATCACTAGAGATCCTCATCAAATAATAAACATTCACAATCACAATTCCATCTCCACGCTAAACAACAGTTTTCATCATCAGCTGTAAATCAAACCCAAAATCAGTTTCATTATTTCCAAACAATCCAAAAATCAACTCGTACCACGTTAAACATAAGTACACAAATTCAACAGATGAAGGCACTTTTCTCTTAAGGTAATTCATTGCTGTCATCTCTTGCCTTCTCTTCCAACACGACTTCTTCATTTTCTATGTTAATTCCACGATTAACGAGAAGTTGTGTTGGATGATGCGTTGGCTGGTTTGATATTGCTGTACTTTAAAAAAAAACTACTTCTGCTGTGCTGTGAGAATAAGCAAATATTGACACGCCCCGATCCCGATGTCCTCGGGACATCGGGATGGTCACGTGTTGGCCGACACCCGAAGGGTGACGAAAGCCATTTAATTTAAGTAAAAACTCAGAAATAAGCTAAAACAGGCAGCAGGAACTAGCAACACAATACTAAAGTTCAACTCCTAATTTATAAAATTATGGTCATACACACAAGCTTAGAGCATACGTCTATTACAGAGTACAAACAGAATTTAAGATAGAGATGTGCTATATTACAATAGATGTCGAAGCAGAGGAAATATAGCATTGAATCACTGGTAGGGAAATGCCTCGTAGCTTAAATCATAATCCTCGTTTGTAGGTCCTGAAGGGGCGCAAAACAAACATGAGTGGACCAAGTTGATATAGATATAATAAAACAGTTATCAACATACTAACCCCCAGGTTTATGAAAACACATATATAATGAAAAAAATAGGTTTTCTGAAAACTAGCATGATATGCAGTATCTCAAATTCATAACTTGTATAAGTAATAAACACTAGTGATCTGTCCGATAACCCCCAGGCCCCATACCGGCTCCCCGTCTCTGAGCAAGACAGTCAGAGGAAAATACACTTCATGCCCCATACCGGCTCCCCGTCCATGTGCTAAATAGCCAGAGGAAACACACTCCAGGCCCTATGCCAACACAAAACCGTTGCTCGGGAAGGACCAGAATCTATCCATACGTCCCGTATCGGAATTGACCACTAGGTAAGTACAAAATCATTGAACATATCTATATTGAAAAACAACTTCATAGTATAAAGTCATCATCATCTATACTATAAAGAGGTGTTCTAAACATGTTCTAAATATCATATCGTCATCCATTGGATATTATATAAGAACATGGGTTATATGAAAAATAGTAGTAATTTAATCTAGCCTCATTAAGCATGTTATCTCACAAAGTACTTCATAAAACATAATTATTAAATCATGTTTTTCATGTATGTATTTCTATTATTAAAACATGCTTTTGAAGGGGTCCACTCACTGTACACCGATGGTGCAAAGCTATACCAAAAAAGTATAACGGAATCACCGTTAATAATTGCATCTATTCACATAAAGGAGTATCTTTAGTCAAACTCTATTTAAACGATTGAATTTGGGAAAACGGACTTCAAAAACGGGTCCAGGACGTTGAAATTAGCCTAGGAGAGGTCCTTGACGAAACCCCGAAAAGTTAACTCAAAAAGTCAACGTTGACCTTGACTGGTCAAAGTCAAAGTCAAAATCAACTCTGACAGTTGACCAAGTCAACGCTGACCGTTGACCGAGTCAACAGTCAGAGTCAACTGGTCAAAGGTCAAAGTCAAACATGGGTTTTGGATTGGGTTGGGCCGAAACGGCCTTAAGGGTTTTGGGTCTAGACTAAGGCTAATGGATTTGGAAAAGGGCTGAAAGCCCAACTCAGATTGGCCCAAGGCCTTTATTTCTAAAACAGAAATTTATTAAAACCTAAAAAGGTTTTTGGGTTGGGTCACGGGCCTTAAGCCCTGAATGGCACGGCCCGAAGGCCTTTAAGTCCTAAATCAATTTAATTAAAACAATTAAAAACAATTGGGTTAGGGTTTTGGGCTAGACTCCCCACGGGCGTAAGGCCCCTTTGCCTTGGAACCGGCCTGCATGGCCTGGCGTCGACGGAGAAGAACGTCGGAGCTTCTACAGCTTCGGCCGACCTCAAATCACAACCCTAGACTCCGATCTAGGTACCAAAACAAAGTACAACACAAGGGGAGTATTTTTATACCTTCATTTCACCTTGGGATGGCTGGAGATGGCCGGAAAGTCCCTTGACACTCTCGAGTTCGCCGGAAATGGGTGTGTCTACACCTGCCTTGATTTCGTCCTAAAACCTTCCAAAATCACGAAATAAACTCAATTAAACCACATCTCACAAGATTCTAGGATGAAAAAGGGAAGATTTGAGGCTTACCTAACCGGAGATTTGAAAAACTCGTCGGAGTTCCTTTCCGGTTTTCTGGGTTAGCAGCACGGGAAAGAGGGAGAGAGAAGGATAAAGAGATGATGATGGTGATGGGTGTCTTCCTCGAGTAGGCGTGAGCCTCTGCATGCGGATGTGTGTGTGGGTTCACAGTGTAGAGTAGAGAGAGATAAGGGAGTGAGGGTTTCGAGAGAGAAGGGAGAGACGGGAAAGACAGAAAAGAAGAAGAAGAAGAAGATGGGTTCACCGGGGGGGAGGGACAAAGAGAGAAGAATGAGAAATTGCTTGGGGTGCTGCCACATGGCAGCTTGAGGAAGAAAAGAATCCAAAGCTTAGATCCTGATAAGGTAGTCAAAATAGGACCAAATAGATAGATTCATAAAATTTAGGGGATAATTACATAAATATATTTTATAAATGGGGGTGGGTGTTACAACTATGAAATAAAGCAGCAGAGTGTTTAGTAAACTTTTTTGTAAAAATGCTTTTGAAAAAAAAAACAATATTATAGTGTTTGATAAACTTTTATGTAAAACAGATGTGAAAAAAAAAAAACTGGTTTTTCAAAGTTGGGCTTTGCAACTTTGTGTTTTTGGCTTTTTTTTTTCAGCCAAAACTGTGAAAAAAAACTGAAGCTGAATGTTTACCAAACATAAAAAAACTCCCATGTTTTTTTTATAGACAATTTTTTCAGAATCACCTCAATACCAAACCATGGCTAAGATACTTCCAACGATTGATAGGATCAATAACAATTTTCTCTAATGCCACAAGATTCTTGATTAAGTACGTGACATGTCTTCTAGCAGGTGCACCACGCGATAACCTTCGATTTCCACTACCTTGAGGCAGTGATGGGGGCATGCCTTAGCTTTCTTTATCTCATCCACATATTTCCCGTCACCAGTGCAATTCATCTGCGCCAAGGAAACAATTTTAATTTATGTTTATACCTTTCGTTCTTCAAAATTATCAACAGAAATGTTTTACTAAATGATCCATGAAGTACAAACACATACCTTCACCAAGTGAAGGAATGGTAAAGGGGAAGCTGTATCGATGCATCGTAGATCAGAATAGATACCTCAACAAGTGAAGGAACATTGCTGAGACGCAGGTCTATAACACTACCTTGATAGATAAATGAAACAGGGTTTGCGTCACAAATCTCAATCCTTTTGAGGTGAACACATGCATATATCACGAGATACTTCAATGTAACTGAGGAGCCAACAGCTCTTAAGTTAACCAAAATTTTGGCACCGAACACTATTAATCGTTCAAGAAATGGACAATTACACAAGAAGTATTTAAGGGTGCGTTTGTTGCACCGGACTATCTCAGACTGGACTAGCTTCAGGGACTAAGCTGGACTGGCTTAGACTAGACTAAGCTGGATTAACTTAGTGAAGCGTTTGGTGCAGTGTCGGACTAAAAAGAAGGATAATAGCAAACTACAATATTATATTTTTTAATTCATATCTAATAATATTATATTAATTAATTCTACCTTTTTTATTCTAATAAAACTCTCCCTCTCTCTGTGGAAGCCTCATCCTTTTCTCCCTCTTTATCTCCCTCGTTCTCTCCGTCCCACTCTCTCATTCCTGCCCTCTTTTTTTCCGATTAATTGCCAATTTTTTTTTCTGCAAAACGAAGAATCGAGCTTGGTTTTTCAGGTTTTTGTTAGGTGCAAGATTACAACTGGAGAGAGCTTTCCAAGTCCGTGGATTCAATCGGAGCCGCAAGCCTGTGGAGCGGCGGAACCAGCCTGCAACAATGCCTGGCAAGCTGTCCGGCAACGAGTCGGGGTTTGTGGAGTCGGGGAAGTGAGAGAAGGCGATGGCTTGGATTTCTTGGATTCGTTTCCGTCAAACCCAAAATTGCA